CCCAGTTCAAGGTGTGGTATATGGCTAGAGGTTTCAGTCAGCGAGAAGGGTGCAGAGTTTTTCCAGACCTTTTCCCCTACCTTGAAGGTGACTACTCTTCAGGTGCTCCTCCACAGCATGACTAGAAGCTCCACTCTCTGGACTTCTCGACAGCCTTCTTGCAGGGCAGCCTAAACGGGCAGATCTTCCTGTAGCGCCCACCAGACTTTACTGGGTCCTTCGCTCCTACGACTCAGTGGAGCCTGCACCGCCCTGTCTTTGGTCTGCGCCAGGCACCCCGTGAGTGGCACGACATGCTCTACACTACTCTCGTGGTGCTCCAATTCTTCCCGTCGCTGACCCCTCGCTCTCTGTTCGTACTGGCCAGACTCCATTCTACATACTCGTGTACGTAGATGACCTTACAATATCTTTGCGACTCTAGACAGAGTTGCACTGGCCTCAGTGAAGGCCAAGCTGGTCAGGTGAGATGCGTGTACAGACCTAGGAGAGCTACGGCACTATCTCGGCTTGGAGATCTCTCGTGGCCATGCAGCGCGCACGATCACACTCTCCCAGTCCCACATGGTTTAGCAGATCCTCCAGCGGTTCGGCTTTTAGTTCTCGTCAATATAGCCCACCCCTCTGCATGTGGACCACATACTCTTAGCTCCTATTTCCCCTGAGCAGGTCGAGTGGTCCATACACTTGATGTACCTGATAACATGCACTCATCCAGATCTATCGTACCCTCTCAGTATCCTTGCTTGCTTTGTTTCGACTGGCAGACACTGACCAGAGCACTGGTTGGTTGTCAAGAGGGTGTTGCAGTATCTGGTGAGTACATCAGAACTGGGGCTTGTGCTGGGAGGACGGGAGCCAGCGGTCCTCACTGGACACACAGACGCGTTGTGGGCTGAGGGCTTGGAGACGTCCAGGTCCTTACAGAGCTACTGCTGTAGTTTTGGTGTGGGTGGAGTCTCGTGGCGGTCCACTAGGTCGTCGTCTATAGCTCAGTCTAGTTGTGGGGTAGAGATCTACGCTGGGGCCATGGCCGCTCAGGAGCTCCACTTGCTAACTTTCTTGCTCACCGAATTAAGTGAGCGGCCTAGGTCTGCACAGGTCCTGTTTGCTAATAACAGGGCCATGATCCTCCTGTGTCAGGAGGCTCGACTTGAGGGCAGGGTGACGCACATCCAGCTGCGGTACTTCCTGTTGCATGAGTTGCAGCAGCGCAGTCAGGCTCATGTAGTACAACACTGCGTAATATCTTCACGAGACTTAGAGGCCAGCACTGCGTCATATCTTCACCAAGGCCCTAGGGCCTCGTAACCATAAGCGAATCTGTGATCAGCTTGGTTTAGTCTCCGTTGTCTCTCCCTTGTTTGTATCCTGATCTCTAGTATACCGGTTTTGTACTTGCTCCTCTATATCGGCTGTCTCGTTACACCATTTTACTGGCCTTTTGGCCCTTGTCTCAGTGGACAGACTAATAGTGCTTCCCTGAGCTGTTTTGTTACATACTCCAGAGGCCAGACTAGTAGTGTTTCCCTGGTTCACTGTTAGGTGTGAGGCTCTGCCCCTACTGGGGATGTGTTAGCGCTCATATATTTATATGTTGTTGGAGTGAAGTGCGTGTTTAGGATGGTGAGGATCTAGAGTTGGTGGAACCAAGAGTAAAAGTCAGTGGAAGACTTGACACCTTGCGAAGGAAATCTTAGAAATAACAAGGATAATGATAATGGATGAAACATGCATATTTATAGTCTAGGAAGTACCTTTTCGGGATGTACCCGTTCGTAGTGTATCGCGACTTTTCACGAGACATGACTAGTGACTGTTCGTGTGACTGATAACGTCATGAACCTTCGAGTAACTATACGCGCGAACCTACTGTTTACGCGTTGACTCGCTATTGCTGGCGTCATCACGCCTGTCCTTCCATATGAGGTATGGCGCTACCAATATGGAGCAATTATTATATAAGGACTGCATAAATGGTACCTCTGTCGAGTATACTTCAACACTTCCCTTCATTCATGAGTGTATGTCTCTGGGAAGTGTCGTCCCCTTCGCAGATTCCAACCAGGTTGGAGGAGTATTAAACTTTGTCGCGTCGGAGTTTCCTCGCGAGAAAATCAGCTGCCATTTCTTCTGTAAGATGACCTTCCCTTTGTCGATTTCATTCTTGACAATGAATTAACAGAGGCAATGTGATTTGTCCTGTTGGCAAAGCCGGGCTGGGTTGAAATCTTGATTGCTCTTTGGTTGTCAGAGAATAACTTGAAGTTCCGAGTCGTTGCGATTTTCACCTTGTGTAGTAACTCTTGAAGATAGAGAACTTTACTGCAGAGCTTGCTGCGATTTATTCTGCCTCGGCTGACAAAAGTGTGATAACCTCCTGTTTTCTTGAATTCCAAGAAATGACCCTGTTCAGGAACGCATAGTTTTGGGGTCAGCAACGTGGTCTGCATTCACGTATCTTGTCAATTGAAATTTCACTGCAGTATTTGTCATGTAGCTGAGACCAATTGTAGGAGTAGAAATGAAATATTGCAGGGCTCTACAAAGATCAGCCATATTCTCCCCTTCAGGTCGGCACAGGTACGACACGAGCTGACTTGTGATGTAAGCAAGATCCGGGCGGCAGGTAACAAGTGCAAATAGAAGATACCCAAGCTGCTATTGGTAAAGCTGATGCTCGGAGGCAGAAAGTGGGGTAGTATTGGAGGTGTGGTCGGCCGAAATGTGACGAAAAGGAGTAGTGAGGCCGATGGGGAGCGATGGTGAATTTTTTTGCAAGTGTTTCAGTGTACTTACTCGCTGAGAGATAGATTGCTTCATGGCCGATATCGAGAAACCGAGAAACTGAGAAATTTAGGGGGAAATAGTGCCATTGAGGATCTCTTGGATTCTTTGTTCCATGCGAACGATAAGATGGTTGCACGAGCTGGTATACAGTAAGTCATCTACATAGGCAATTAGAAGAATATAGTGTCCTCGGAATTCAAGTTTGTGCATTCCAGGGTCATGGTGCAGTTGCACGAAGTCGAGTGAAATTAGAACAGTGTGAAGATGCTGCTACCATAGGCAAGGAGACTGTTTGATGCCGTAAAGGGATTTAAGTAGTTCGCAGATGTAGAGTCCGTTGACGTAAATTTCAGGGAGTTCGACTAAAATATATGCATCAATGTCTGCGTATAAAAACACATTTTTTATGTCCAGCTAGCGAAGTGTTGGTGGCATCTGGCGACAATAGCGAAGAGAATTCAAACTGAGGTATGGCAACTGACCGGAGCAAAAGTCTGGTCATAGTCGATGCCATGGGTTTGTTCGAAACCTTGAACAACCGATCTCCCCTTGAATCTGTCTGGGTTGCCTTCTGCATTTGTCTTCATGCGAAAGACCCACTTGCCCGAAAGAATCGACTTGCCACGTGCTTCGTCTCATGGAACCAGTTTCCACGTTTTCTGCTTCTCGAGAGCTGCTACCTCTGTATCCATAGCTGCTCGCCACTTGGCTGCATCTGAGTTAGAGAGGGTCTGCTTGTCAGTTTTCGGCTCAATCCCGGCTGTCGGTTTCTGAACTGCGATAGCAAGGCTGAGGATTTGAAGAGCTGATTGGTCACCTCGTGGATATCGTTGGCGAACTTTGACGACATCGTCATCGTCGATTTCGTATGCAGCTGGCAGGCACCGTCATGTGATGCGGCGTCGGTTTTCTATCGGTGAAGGTGCTCCTCATAATTGGGGCTGTGTGTGTCGTGGCTGGACGCAACGGGTCTGAGGGGGTGATGAAGAGCAGGGTTCCTGTGCCATAGGCGGAAGCTTTTGGAATGTAGGAGTTGAACAATGCTTCTTCATGGGACGAAGGAACAGGTTAGCTGCTGACGTGGATGGCTGCGGAACTGTAGAAGGTCCTGCTGTTGCACTGGTGGGCGGATAATGTTCTTTGGCTGCATCTGCTTTATCTTGAGGGGTGACGAAACCCCTTTCGGCACTGTAGCGATCAGGATCCCGCTGCTGGCGTTCCTTGTCACGTTCAAAGTCCTTGAGAAATAATTTATTGTAGAAGATGCAGTCCTGGGCATACAAAAGTTTGCGAGTTTCGTAATCCATGATTATCCAGGAGTGGGAATCCTTAGGAAAACCGAGGTGTATTCCTCATCGAGCCTGTTAGGAAAATCTGCCCACAGTTGTGCTCAGTGGCCGGTATTGAACCATACAGCCCCAAACTCGTAATAGTCGAGTATCGATGGGCTGCTTTGTCTACATGGCATGTGACGAACCGAATTGAGGTAGGGCAGTCGAAGGCAGCCAGTTGTACAGTCGGACAGCTTGTGCCATCGTAAATGACCAGAAATCAGTTGTCAAGTTGGACTATTGCTCGCTAGTGTACTCCCCCAGGTTGTCTGTCTGTATCTCCTTGAGTTTGATGCCACTCTGTCGCTCTACGATTTTCAGCCATAGCTTGAAGGCGTCGAGAGCTTCTAACTTATGAGATAAGTTCTTGTGCGAAACATATCGAGTAGCAGCGTTGATGAAGGTAATTATGTAACAATAACTATTGCTGCTGGTGTCCTCTGCTTCCCGTGGCATGAAGAGGATGTTCTGAAAACTTAGCGCTCAGAAAGTGCAACGAGTACGAAGCATGACTCACGTGAGCGTCTGGGCAGATGGTGCTAGGTCGAAGCTCTTAAAGCGAGAGGTTATAATAGTGACCCATCGTTCTAGTTGGGCCCAACTTGATTGGGACCCTCGAACAGATATAGGGGGGACAAGCGAGCGGGCAGAAGAAAACGTCGTTTCGGGGCGGGCAGTCACTCAGCAGCAAAAGCACCTGCCCGCGAGACAAATTTGAATATGTGGACGTGGGTGTGTTTATAAACATACTGTAATACTAGCTAGCACGCCTCGTTGGGGCTCGTTTGTTACCATATTTTGTTGACCTCGATTGGTTGCGGTTCAGTCAAACTCAGAAGGGTGGACATGCAATGGGAAAAGTGTTGTTGGTGGGTGGTCGAAGTAAACAGCCCTTGATTTGTTAGCTCTGGGTGGGGAGAAATTTCGACCAATCAGAAATGCAGTTGTGTTCTTGCATGAGTAGTGAACCCAGGTCCAATTTGAAAACCAAGTTGGGCCCACTTGGAGAATGACGAGGCAATGGGGTCGCACAAGCACCTGCGACCTGTGACAGCTCGCAAACCCAGTCCTACAAATCTCCCAGCCAATCGTGTGCTCGCGCCTGCTCGCTCTGAACAGCTTGCCTGGTTCTGCCGAGTGAGGCTAACAACCCCTTAGAAAAAATCGAGGGTCCCTTGGTTTCAAGTTGGACCCGCCTTCACTATTTTAGCCCCTTGCTTTAACCGTTTGTGCCATGTTTCTGCCATCTTTTGAATGCAGGTACAAGTCAGAGTGAAGAAAGAAGGCCAACGAAAGAAGAATCGTTGGCACAGGGTTAACGCAGCTACCGGTTTTGAAAGGTTGGATGAATTCGGCTTCTTCTGCAGTTTCAGCCCAAGGGATGCCGAGATGTCGATGATGCGCCCAAGAATCAAGTACAATTACCTATTTTGTGCCCCATGTGCGTTCAACCTTCATATGTTCTTCGACTATTGCTGAATTTGGTTCTTGAGTACCGTAACCCTAGCTATCGATCGATACAAGGCGCTTTTATACTTCCAAGGTACATCAGGTAACCAGGTTTATGCTATCCAAAGGGAATAGATCCTTCTAGAAATAGAATCAACCTGCATATAGCCACGTGAGACTATTGGCTTTACGGGGTTACAACATAATTACGCTAGATATAGCGCGCCCGTACATCCCGAGCCTGGTTAGTGATATAATCATAATAACAGGATAAACCAAAGGATGGAACATAAATAATAGGAGACCAAATGAGATGAGATAAAGACCAAATACATTAGGATAAATAGGAGAATGAGATCGAGAAGAAATATACAATGATGGAAACAATTGTCCGGATGTTTTGCATTAACTAGGGTTTTTGGGCTTTTCGACCACTATACATAAATTTTTAATTTTTAATGGTGGTACGCTTTGGGAGGGGCACATAGTGTAATGGGGTCGTACTCTCATACTTCCCCCCCTCAAAGCTGGGTAGTATTAGTAACACCCTGCTTGACAAGGTAGTCGCGAATAAGATGACAGGCGTTACCCATATCAAATTCAGAGACCCAGCTATCCTCAGAAGGATCATAACCCTTCCAATGGATGAGAAGCTCCAAGGAGCCATTTCGACGATGACGGTGTGCAAGCACGGACTTGACCTCGTACTCGGGTTCATCATGGAGGAGGACGGGCAGTGGCGGCGGCGGTTGCATCCAGTGAAGATCGTGTTGGGGTCCCGTTAGGGCTTATGAAGTTGGACATGGAAGGCATTGTGAATCTTCCAGGTAGCTGGCAGGTGTAAGCGGAAGGTAACGGGGGTGACCTGTGCTTCAACGAGAAAAGGCCCACATAAGCAAGAACGTAGCTTGGATGGGAAATGATTGATGTCGAGATTGCGGGTGTGGAGTAGAACACGGTCTCCCATGGTGATGGTGTGGTCATTGTTACTGCTGAATGTCGAGGAGGCACTTGTGGGTCCGATCCCAAAGCATGGTGGTGATGAAGTCGTGTGCAGGTTGGACTATGGTTGGTGCTGTTAGTTTCGGTGGAGTGAGTGGGTTGCGTCCGTAACAGAGGAAAAACGGTGCCTGTCCGGTAGCGGGGTGAGTGGCATTATTGTAGGCAAACTTTAGGACGGGTAGATGCACGTACCACTTGGAGATGTCGTCCTTGCATGCTGCGTGGAGGAGTTGCTGCACAATTTGGTTGAGGCATTCAGTTTGGCCGTCTGTTTGTGGGTGATACGCTGATGGCATGGGGAGTTTGTTCCTGAGTAGAGACATCAGTTCCTTCCACAAATTGCTGGTGAACTTAGGGTCTCGGTCGGAGATGAGTGTGGTTGGAATGCCATGCTAGAAGATGATGTAGCGAACGAACAGTTGTGTCATCTCCTCGGTGCATGCTATCGTGTGTGTCGGGATGAAGTGTCCCATTTTCGAGAATTTGTCGACGACGACAAGGATTGCGCATGACCGTTGGTGGTAGTTTAGATAGCGTCTGCTTCGATGCCATTGTCATGTTCGGGGTCTGGCAAGATGAAAACGGGTGCGGACGAAAGTGCTTGTTTCAGTTGCTACACGGCTTCCTAATGTTTTGACTCCCATTGATAGGGTGTGTTCTTCTTCAACTAATTCGTCAGTGGTGCGGCCATTTTCACGTACTGTGGCACGAACCTGTGGTACAGTTGGCAAAGCCTAGGAACTGCTGCAACTCCTTCATGTTCTCGGGTGTCTTCCATGTGCGTACGCCTTCGAACTTCTCGGGGTCAACGTGAACTCCTTGAGCGCTCACCATGTGTCCTAGGAATTGGAACTTCTTGAGGGTGAATTCGCTCTTGGATGATTTGACTTAGAAACATTCCCGTCGAAGAACATCGAAGACGCGTCGCAGGTGTTCGACGTGCTGCTTCATATCGCGCGAGTAGATGAGAATGTTGTTCAGGTACACCACCACGCATTCATCCAAGAGTGGGCATAGAATGTGGTTCATTTTGGCTAGGAAGGTTGCCAGTGCGTTGGTGAGTCCGAACGACATGACCAGATACTGGTACGACCCGTACTGAGTTCGGAAAGCAGTTTTGTGGATGGAGTTGTCCGCCATTCTTATCTGCCATTATCCAAACTGCAAATCCAGTTTGGAAAATATCGTGGCTCCCCGAAGCTGGTCAAGCAGGTCATCGATCCGCTGAATCGGGTATTTATTCTTAATGGTCTGCTTGTTGAGAGCTCGGTAATCGATGCATAGGCTTAGGCTTCGGTCCTGTTTCAGTGTGAAGAGTACTAGGGCACCGTATGGTGAAGTGGATGGACAGATGAGTCCATATTCGAGGAGATACTCGATCTGTTTCTTCATGTCGGCTAGCTCTGTAGGGCTGAGTCAGTATGGTGCTCCGAACCTGGTTCTTCCAAGATCTCATGTTGGTGTATTCGGTTTGGCGGTAGCTCATTTGGAAGATCGTCGGGAAGGATATTTAGGCTCTGAGGCTTTCTCTCTGTCGTCCTCCGCATCTCTTGCTATCACCAGGAACCTGGTATCGGTTCGTTTCTTGTCCTTCTCGAATCTGGCGAGTGTCTCCACGGTGATATCTCCTGTGTCGTCCCATTTTGGTAGCTGGACTCTCCTTCCTTTAATATAGATGCTTGCAGAGCGGTTGACCTAGTTGATGTCGGGGTTGAATCTTTAAAGGAGATCAAGTCAAGCCCTTTTATATTGGTTATGGGGAGTGCAAGTTTCCAGCGGAGTGTTCCGATTTGTAGGTATAACGCTGCTTCACCGTAGACTGGTAACTTACTGCCGTCCACCATCATTGCAGAGAATGCCGAAGGCTTGTACTCTTCCCGAAGTCGGTCAATTGCTGCCTTGTCACATACAGTGTATGACGCTTCGCTGTCCACAAGTGCTTGGAGGCGTCGACCTTTGCAGATGACATCAAGCATGAGGGGCAGGCGTTGCTCGGAATACCCAAGGATAGTTTAATTAATAGGATCATAGGGTACATCCCAATAGTCCGTACACACCTTTTCTTTGCTATCTACTCCTGAGCTGGTAGCTGGCCGAGGTTGCTTGGAGAAAGGCTCTTTTCCAGGGCCTAGAGTTTCCTTGACGACTGTGTGTGTCGTCAATGCCAAATTCGCTGAGCTGGATGCATCCAAAGGAGGAGTTTGGGGCTTTTGCAACTTCTTGTAGACACCCAGCTTCCTCTTGAGCTGCTTCAGCTCCACCGACGTCTTCCCTGGGGAGCAGGTAGTCACTGTGGGCTGGTCTTGGGAGAGGACGTTGACTTAGTGGAAAGGTCGGCTTCTTTCCACACTCAATTTTTTCTCCAAGTTCTCTGGTACCGGTACAATCTCCACAATTTTTTGCTGCTTCTAGAGTCCCTCATGAAATTTCTCCAAGGCTCTAGCCCCTCTAGAATGATAAGTTTTCATTAAAGCCTCTTTATAAGATAACTTTAACAAATCCTTATAATTTCTTGGGTCTTCAAGGAGTTTCCCTGTCTCGGCAATGTCTTTTTTCGCGGAGTCAAGTTTTTTCCCGGCGATTTTCCCTGGCCAAGTCTGGTCGTGGGGTGGAGATTTTTCCCCATCATTTCCTCCTGCTCGCGTTGAATCAAATCTGTCGAACTTGATTTTTCCAAAATCCCGTACCGCTTTCGAATATTTTCTTTTTTGCCAGCTAGATCTGCAATCACTGGCAATTCCCCATTGGCCAAATAATTTCTGCCACTGTTCTGATACTCTGCACGTGCGACTTTCATTTTGTTGCAGTCGAAGATTCGATGGGTTGGCACCCCGCAAAAATCACACGTGAAGTTGGCGTTATTCGTGTGTGGTCGTTCGTCAAATCTGTCGATCTCCATCGGGTCGGCGAATGTGGGGTGTTCCGAGCGGTCGCCCTGTCACGTATTGCCGACGAGCGCCCGTCGTGTTCCAGCATTGACCATGTCAAACTGCTCCTCTGCCGATACGACGTCACTGTAGCTCGCGTAATTCGTTGTTGCTATATGTCGTTTGACTTCAGTCTTCAGCCCGACAAGGTACGACTGCACTATTTCACCTTCGGTCAGGTTGGGAATTCGGTTATAAAATTCCTCCATCTGCTGCGTGTACTGCGCTACACTCCCGAACAGTCGATGGCGATGATTTTTTTCTCGGGCAAGGAAATTGGAATTTATCGGCTCGAAACGTTTCAGCAGGTTGGTGTGGAACTGCTGTTTCTCAAATCCCCAAGCATAGAAGTCGCGATCGTCAAAGTGAGTTGAGGTCTTCAGCTTGGAGATAGTTAGGAAATTTGCTTGATTGACAATACCTTGTGCGGTAGCAAACGTCCTTTCTTCTGCCGTCTGATGTTGTTGCTAATGCTATGGTTGTTGTTGCTGTTGTGCAGGTCATCCATAGAAGGGAAAAGACTCGACGAATTCATCTCCAGGGGCTTAAGGCAGCGACGACAGCAGCTCTTGCATAACTAGAGTTCTCAAGGCACATAGTGGCTGTAGGGTCCATCGGAGCTTATTGTTGTTGCTGAGTAGACTGTTTAGCCATTACAATAGCAAAGTCAGATAGATCGTCATTAGATAGACCAAAAAAAGGAGAGTTCGTAGATGAAGTTCTTGTTTTATTAACTGACATAATGATAGATGACTAACTTAAGCTAATGGCGTTATCAACATCAGCTTGTAACGGGTTCCTGTAACTCTACTTGCTCATAATACCATATTGGAGTAAACTACATGTTTAGGGTGGTCAGGATCTAGATCTTGATGGAACCGAGAGTAAAAGTCAGCAGAAGACTTTACACCTTGTAGAGGAAATCTCAGAAATAACAAGGATAATGATAATGGATGAAACATGCATATTTACCGTTTAGTCTAGGAAGTACCTATTCGGGATGTACCTCTTCGTAGTGTATCGCGAGTAGTAGCGTGGCATGAATAGCGTCTGTTCATGTGATTGAGAGTGGCATAATCCTTTAAGTGACTATATGCGTGAACCTATTGTTCACCCGCAGGGATGACGTTTCAAAAAAACCCACTCTGATTTTGGCCCCAAAATGTTTTCCCAAGTCTGAGTAGCCAGGTTTCTGATTTCAGGTAGTCTGATTTGATAGGATCCAGAGAGACTCAAGTCTGATATTCTCAAGGTTCACAGGCATCAATCAGACTCTAACACACATCACCATTTACTTGCCAACATTACACAACATTTTCGCCATTAAGCAACACCTATACCAGTTTCCTAGCCTATCTAGAACTCTGGTACATCCACAGAGACTTCATCCTCCGCTTCATCATCTGATAGGAAGGGGTTGTCTTCTATAGCTGCTGCACCTCCACCATCCCTCTCCCCCTCCCCCTCCTCCTCCTCCTCCTCCTCCTCCTCCTCCTCCTCCTCCTCCTCCTCCTCCTCCTCCTCCTCCTCCTCCTCCTCCTCCTCCTCCTCCTCCTCCTCCTCCTCCTCCTCCTCCTCCTCCTCCTCCTCCTCCTCCTCCTCCTCCTCATCCCAATTCTCTCCTATGTAGTCTGGCACCGGAGGTTCGTGCTCAGCCTCTTCCAGCAGAGCCTTGCCCTTGCGCTTCCTCTCTTGTGATGCGAACACCACCGATTTTGCTGGTCTTCTCTTCTTCGCGTGCCACAGCTCCAGCGCTTCCTGCTAGTCGATTTCGTATTTCAGCAGCGAAATCATCATCAGCTCATCCAGGTAGGCATTGCAGAGTGCACCGCGGACCCAAGACTTGATCACATTCTGCCTGGAAAAACAACGCTCGCACTCCACAGTTGAGAATGGTAACACCGTGCATGCTTGCCAGAGAAGCATGAGGTTGGGCCAGTGCCTGTTTATGGAACAACCACACCCAAGAGGCGTCGAACAATAGAATTAGGAACAAAGTGGAGGCATGGTGGGCAAGGAACAATAGAATTAGAAACAAAGTGCACGCATGGTGGTCAAAACTGGCAAAAACAAACATACACAAGAAAACAGAGTAGCGTGCTTTGGAGGCTTGACTTACTTGCTTGACTCCGTGTTGCCAAGGTACAATAGTTCGTGAGGCCCTGGTAGAAGCCCTCCTCGTTGTGGTGGTTCTGCATGATCGGGGCCCAAGTTGCCAGCTCCTTCTCCGCCGCCTTCAAATCGAACCCGGGGAGCCTGTCGTCGAAGATAGCACTGCAGCCATGGAGATACTCCCTCGTCTTCTTCTCCCTCACCGTCCGAAGCCGCGGCCACTTGCCCGCCCAAAACAGCTTCGTCGCTCCAGCAGGTTCGTCATGCTCCCCCTCGCAAACTTTGCGCTTAACAGCTCGCAGTCCCGGTAGTTGCTCTGGTAGACATTGTTACAATCACAATAGGCTCAGATGTGCCTAAAATGAGAGAAATTCAGGACAGTCAGAATTCGGTCAGACAGCTTCAAAACTTGGTGGCGATCTGATCTGTGCCTCAAACGGTGATCTGTAAATTTAATCTGGAGCGCGTTGCTGTCGTCTATCAGCAGCAAGTTGAATCATAAGATTCCATGAAGATTTGACGACGCTATGGCGGTTTGACTGGTAGGAGGTACAGCAGCCACTATAGTCTTAGGAGTACAAACTTAGCAAGAAGAGTTCGAGAGGGAGATGGTTCCCAGCCTCTACATACCCCAAGAGCCGAGGTCCAGGTTGGTGGTACACCACCACAGAGTCCCCAACCATGAAGAGTCTCGAAACCAACCCTCCAAGGGGCTACCCCAAGTGAAATGTAACACTACACGAGTAACGTTACTATTTTCACTATTTAATATTTATCCGCGTCCCTTGGGCTTGACATCTTGAGCTCTTGTTCTTGGATCTGCAAGATAAATTCTTCTTGAGTTGATGGGGGCTTGCTGCACACACCTGCGACACGATGGACACTTCACACTCGACAAAATAGAAAAAACACATGCGACACACAAACGACGACTTGACATGCGAGTTGTAAAAACTCGCTAATGTCTTGACCGACACAAGCCACACTGTGATACACCATTCAAACATTCACACAAGCACTAGATAGCACTGACATAGACTCACAATTCATTCCATGCCATGCATGCACACACACAAACAAGGACGACAAGCCGAGTGCAAGCCATAGGATTGCACCAACAAACTCCCCCTCGGATTGTTGGCCTTAGAATCTGCTCCCCTTAGTTCAGAGCCATCCCAGCAAGCTTGCAACACTTCCAATGCTGCTGCTCAACCAGCCTGTTGGTCATCATATGAGCTGGCTGTGCCGTCGTCTTCACGTAGTGCAACTCCACTTCACCTGCGGTTACCATGCTCCTCACCCAATGCCACTTCACCTTCATGTGCTTGGTAAGGCCATGAAGAACCGGGGTTCTTAGCCAATGCAATAGCACCTTGGCTATCACAGTAGAGTGGGGTAGGTCCTTGCTGCTCCTCCCCCAATTCAGCTAGCAAACGCCGCTGCCACACAACCTCTCTTATGGCACGGAAGAGTGCCATGTACTCGGACTCCACCGAGCTCAATGCTTGGTCCACTTGTTTCTTGCTCTCCCAAGCTGTTGGCCCTCCACCAACACAGCGGATAAAGCCTCCCACACTTGTCATGTCCTCTGGTTCTGATGCCCAAGATGCATAAGAGAAGGCGGTGAGAAAGAGCCTCCCGGGTTCGACTCCATCCGCACCCTTTTGACGCCTTTGTGCCGCCGCAGAGTATTGCAGTCCAACAGTTGCTGTTTGGCCAAGGTACTTGGCCACCCTCTCTCCAGCAGCTACCTGCTCCTCATTAGGGCATTGGACAACCCTAGCCAGCTGCCCGGTAGCAAAGGCTGCATCCGGCCTTGTGTGAACGGCCGCATACATGAGGCTGCCCACCAAGGAGTGAAAACGCCGCCTCTCCTCTTCACCAACACTTTCCTCCGCTGGTCCTTTCACACACTTGAACCCTGAGGGAAGAGGAGTAGCCACATGACCTTCACTCTTCCCAAAGTTTGCAGCCAAGGCCTCCAAGTACTTTTTTTGATGCACTCGCATCCACTGCTTCTCCACATCTCGCTCAATGTGAAGCCCAAGGTAGTAGTTGACGTCACCAAGGGTCTTGCACTTGAACTTGTCTTGAAGCTTCAGCATCACCTCCTTCACAAGGTCAGAGGAGGGTGAGAATATGAGGATGTCATCCACATAAACCACCATGAAGCTCCTCTGCTCCCCCTCGCCAAGCATGAACAACGATTGATCGGCCGTTGAGGGAGTGAAGCCGATCGCCTCCAAGACTTCCCGCAGCTTGATGTACCATTGCCTAGGGGCTTGCTTGAGGCCATAGAGTGCTTTCTTTAGCTTCCACACTCTGCCACTCCCATCATTGTACCCCTCTGGCTGCTCCATGAAGGTCTCTTCCTCCAAAACGCCGTTGAGGAAGGCCGTTACTATATCCATTTGCTTCACCACCCATCCTTTGATGGCCGCCGCGGCGAAGAGGGTTCGAAGGGTTGTACCCTTCACCACAGGGGCATACACTTCATTGTAGTCCTTCTTCTCTTGCTGCTGATACCCCTTGGCTACAAGTCTGCTCTTGTAGCGCTCGATGTTACCGTCGGCGTCGGTCTTGCGCTTGAAGAGCCACTTGGAAGAGATCGCCTTCCGCCCCGGAGGTAGGTTCACCAAGTCAAACGTGTCGTTCTCGATGATGCTCCCCATTTCTTCATCTGAGGCCTTCTTCCACTCCTTGTACGGTAAGTTCTCCATGAACTTGCAATCTCTGCTCACCAGAAACTTCTTGGTAAATGGGTCCCATAGAAGCCATCCCTTGCTGTTTTGGGCCATGCCCAGGTGCACGGCCCATGTTGCCTTGGCATCAAGCTTGTTGTGCCGAAGTTTCTTAGGCACAAGTGCCATGCACATGCACCCGAACACCCGAAGCATATCCACCTTTGGCTTCCTTCCAATCCACTCCACATAGGGCACCCATTTGTCTTCTCCCACATGAGTCAAAGGGGGTGTGCAGGCCTGTAAGGGAACTCAAGGGAACCGCTGGATAGGGACGGGTAGTGTAGCTACGAGCAATTACAGGACCTGACGAGGGGTCAGCAAGTGCGACAGCGGCACGCGCGGCAAGCGGCGTGAGCGCAACGTGGTCGCGGAAGAAGCAGGCAGACGCACCGCAGTCAAGTGTGAAGGACAGCGAAGCAATAGCAACGGACGAAAGAGGAGCATGTATAGAGCCTAGGCTATACAAAGCAAACAATCGTACTCCTGACGTAGCAGGGGAGTTTGGACAAGAAACAGGTGCTACACCTAAGCTAGAGAACACAGGGTAATAAGATCCTGATACACTAGAAGCGCCAGCATACAGCGAATGCAAGGCAGAACTAATCTGATCCATGTCTAATTCAAAAACAGGCACACCGTAGCGCAGCAGCAGGGGAGGTCTGGGGCCAGGCCAAAGCGGCGATGGAAGAGGTCATCGAGGCAGCGGAAGCAACGGGCGCTCGGGTGCGGGTGGCGGCACACAGTGCCAGGGAGGGGCCCGGTCTGGAGCTGGTACTGGCATCTCACAATACCGAAGCCATCGGTAGGCACAGAGCTGCAAGGACCGCCACCGCGGCCACCACCTCCAGGGGCTCCTGGTCACCCCGGCGGGAGGTGGGCCCACGGCTGCTGTTGCTGCTGCGGCTGCTGCAGCTCCTGCGACTGCTGCGGCTGCTGCTGCTCCTGGGCACCTGCCCTAGCCCCCTCGTCTGAACCACTGTCGCCACCTCCATCACCACCACCACCAGCACCACCATCGACGCTGGCGCTGCTGCTGCGGGAAGGCCGCAGATGCGGTCTCAGTGGCAGGAGTATCGGTAGCGACCACGGCGGAAACTTTAGCATACGTGCACTGGGAGGGAGCACAGCCCTGAAAGATAGGGACTGCCGCAACACAACTCGATTGAGCGATAGTGCGTTGGCGAGTCTCTATCTCAGAAAGGGCATTTACAAAGGTAGTCAGGGTGAGGTCACCAGGGTGCTGGCTTAGGAAGTGGTCGTGGGCAGTGGCTAAGCGGTCAGGCAGGCCCCGCAACGTAGTTGGTGTCGGCTATCTTCTGGACCTCGGCGTCACCACTACGTTCCCGGGTCACGAGCGGAACGCTGTCTGTACAGAGGCCGCCTCAGATTCCCCCCTTGCGATGTTCCCCCGAGACCCAGTGTCTGGCCTCTTTACACTGGACACTGCTTCCCCCCTGGGTGGGCCGTCCTCCCCAGATCCTTCGTCTACTGTTATAACCACAATAGGTTCAGATGTGCCTAAAATGAGAGATAGAGTGCACAGTCAAATTTCCGTCGGAAGGCTTCAAATATTTAGAACGATCTGATTTGTAACCCAAACGATGATCTGTACATTGGATCTAGAGAGCGTTGGTGTCACCTATCAGCAGCAAGTTGAATCATGAAATTCCATGACGATCTGATGACGCTATGGCGGTTTGACTGGCAGGAGGTATAGCAGCCACTATAGCCTTAGAAGTACAAACTTAGGAAGAAGAATCGAGATTGAGATAGTTCTCAGCCTCTACAAGCCCCAAGAGCCAAGGTCCAGATTGGTGTTACACCACCACAAAGTCCCCAACCACGAAGAGTCTCGAAACAAACCTTCCAAAGGGCTACACAAAGTTAAATGTAACACTACACGAAGTAGCGTTACTATTTTCACTATTTTAATATTTATCCTTGTCCATTGGGCTTGAAATCTTGAGCTCTTGGTCTTGGTTCTGCGAGATATTCTTCTTGAGTTGATGGGGGCTTGCTTCACTCACCTGCGACACAATGGACACTTCACACTCGACAAAATAGAAAAAACACATGCGACACACAAACGACGACTTGACATGCGAGTTGTAAAAACTCGATAATGTCTTGACCGACACAAACCACATTGTGATACACCATTCAAGCATACACACAAGCACTAGATAGCAATGACATAGACTCACAGGTCATTCCATGCCATGCATGCACACACACGAACAAGGACGACAAGCCGAATGCAAGCCATACGGTTGCACCAACATCTACTCTGGTTACCGCCGCGTGCTCATGCCGGTCGCTCACTCACCCGTTGCTTCTATGGCACCACCACCTAGGTCACCCCGCACTCTCGCGTCTGCATCACATGTCCCAGCACGGTCTCATCCTAGGTCTCCCTACGTCGCTTCCTGCACTCCCTTCCCGTCTGCGCCGCCGTGCACGCCCTGCGTCGAGGGCCGGCTGCGCCATGCTCCTCACTCCTCCTCACTTTGTCCTGCCACCGCACCCCTCCAGACCTTGCACCTGGTCGTCTGGGGCCCAGCCCTGTCCCTGGACCGCGTCGCGAGCGCTACTTTCTAGTGCTCATTGATGACTACACGCGCTACACCACGGTGTTTCTTTTGGAGCTGAAGGCCGACGTGCCTGACGTTCTTATCATGTGGGTCGTAGCTGTGCGCCTCCTCTGCGGTCTCCCTACGCTGTGTCTCCATTTCGACTGTAGTGGTGAGTTTGTCTCTGATCGGCTTGGACAGTTCTGTCGCGTGGAGGGCATCACCCACGGCCTCCTCCTCTTCCTGTCCACGGTCCTGTGTTTCCTCCGCCGGACTCGTCCCCGTCTCATTTCCCACCTCGTTCCCCTCGTGTTACTCCTCCTCTATCTCCTAACCCGACGCCTCCATCTCACGTCTGGTGGCACCGTCCCTCTCGTGCTCTTCCTATCTCTCTTGTTCAGTATTCTCACCTTATATTGCTTCGTTCCCACGCGTCTCGTCCTCCCCTCCTGCCTTCGCCTCCTCTGTCGTCGCTCGCTGTCGCGCCTCCACCTCTGTCTGATTAACTTCGTGTTGCTCGTCCTCTTATTCCTCGGGTCCTTGCCTCCGTCGTTACCGACCCGTCTGTTCATGTCTCCAGTCTTGACGCTCTTGCCGCTGCTGTCGCTGACTTCGCCTCTACCCGCCGCCTTGACTAGGCCACCACTTTGGTCTCTGACCCTGTCCGTCCTCTGTCCGTCGGAGTTGCTCTTGCCCTTAGCAGTGACGCCCTAGAGGACAGGCAGTACGAGCTTGCTTCCCTGTCGGAGGCTGCTCCCCATCTCTGTTCCATGCTTCTAGTCCCTGAGGGTGACTCAGACGCCTTTGACATTCCGACCCTCGCACTAACGCTGACGCGACGTCGGGACCCTGGGCCTCTCAGTGGATAGCTGCCATGGAGCAGGAGATGGCATCTTAGAGATCCACCGGCACCTACGTCGACGCAGTTCCCCGGCCTGGGGTGAACGCAGTCGATGGCTGGTGGCTCTTCAAGGTGAACCGCCCCCCTGGAGAGCCACCTATGTTGAAGGCG